GTGCCTTAATCCAGCCTCCATCTATCATCTCGCCGCGAGGGGGACTGACCTGGAGAGCCGAGATGGTTCGGATAGCAGGAGGGGAGCGCGCTCAGGCGTAACGACGAGGGCTCAGGGTCCCTCCAGGCCCTTACCTCTCCCCTCCCTTTCCCTTCCCCTCCCCTTCCCACTCCCCACCCCCTCCACCACGGCCACGTGCTCCTGAGCGAGGGAGTAGAAATGATGATGTGAGACTACATAACTCTGAGAACTTCGGTTGAAGGTATCAAGTAAACTAGTGGTACTTAAAAAACAAATACGTATTTTTGATTATGATTACGTAATAACGTACGCCAGGTAAGTCCACAATGCTGCAAACTGTGCGAACAACAGAAATAATGTTGGTGGCAATAGCTGCAGCTTGTACCTGAATAAAACGTACATTGCGTACTCACCAGAATTATAACAGACGCTTGAAGTATTGTCCCCTTCACTTGATCTGGTTGCTACCAACATACGTGCCGTTTTTAATAGGACACCCTGTTTAAGCTCGGTGCGGAGAGTTTTTTTCTTGCGCGCTGTGTTATAATAGCTTAACTTCTATCCTACTCACTTTTTGGCTAAACGTGGAAAATCTCTTTACCAAAGAGAGATACGGAGTTTGAAAAAAATTGAATCTACCTACTCATCATTTTTTGAAAGTAGCAAATTTAAATGCAGTTGGTATTCTTCCATATAATTTAGTGCACTGTGCTTTATTCTTGCACGGGCCCACTAAATGACGAACGCACGTGAAAACCCGTGAGATAATATGAATGCATGAAAATCTCCATGTTTATAATAATCCATATTATGCAGTGATTCTTGTATATTATAACTTACAGCTATGTGAAAGCTGCTGAGTGAAACTACTTTTGAATAGAGTACATGAAACTATTTAATTAGGTGTACATTAAGTGTAGTAGTGTCAGAAAAAGATAAGAGGTCAGCAATGAGGTGGGTGCTCCCGTGGATGGAAAAGAAATATTTTAACGTTGAAAACGTTTCTGTTATTCTGGGTGATCTGGGCTGTCCGGGTGACGCCGCGTCGAAGGCTGTGTTGCCGACGTTTCGACTATCTTGTCGTGGTCTTCCTCAGGGCTGGTATGCTGAGGAAGACCAAGACAGGATGGTAGAAACGTCGGCAACACAGCCTTCGACGCGGCGTCACCCGGACAGCCCAGGTCACCCACATGACTCTGGCCGTGGAAGCCTACGACTTCGTTTCTATTATTCTGTTTGCTAGAGAAGTGTTGGCAACTCAGAGAGGTAGTTCTAAAATTCGACCATTGGTGTCAGATCCAGGCAATCATACCTAATGATGATAATCTGATGATGGTCTGATGTCATAAAAATGTCTTTGGAAATGAAAGTGGCTAATATCATTCACTCGCTTTACTACAATCTATAGACGTAAGCTTTTATAGATCTTTTAAAAGTCATACATCCAAAGTCATTCTGCATCTTGGAAAATGTTTATAATATCGTACCACAGTTTTTGAGTTCTTCCATATTATTTTCGTTGAAGGCTTTTGTTCTTCGAATAAAATTAATTTCTTTAAGAAAACAGTTTTCATTGCTAACATGACGATGCTCCTTTAAATCATTGGTGTCAAGTAAATGCACTGAGCAAAAGCTCTCATTGATTCTATTAGATCATATCCGATTCTTGAAAAATTATCCGATTCATTGTTAATACAAACTTTCTGAAATGAAATATTTGTCAGTTTTGCAAAAGTATCGTCTCTGAAACGGGAAAAGTTGCACTGCTTTATGTATTTCGTTTGGTGTCTTTCTAGTTTGTATCATTGATCTACACGACTTTCCACTCTTATTTGTATTCCAAATGGAACAAAGTGAATAGTATGCCCAAACGTTTTAGATAATGTTAAGAGAAATAAATGTTCTTTTTTATTCTAATTCAATTCCTAACTTGCTGAGCTTTCATATTTTTTACTATATTATTTATATTTATAAACCTTTTCCTGTCGTCGTTTGCATGTTTGTCATAAACGACCCGTCTGCACATACTTCCCCGGAGTCATAAATCTGTTTAATGGGCTTTCCCCATTCGCGAATACCTCGTAAATGCAGTATTCTATGTCGTAAAATCACACTAACGGGGAAGCGCCGAACACAATGACCTCATAAGGTGTTTAAATCTGAGTTGTAATGTTCGCACATGGGGAATGTTTGATAATTTTATTATAGAAATAACCAATATTTTAAAGTATGTTTTATATTTATATTTTTGTAAAATTGCTTGACCTTCGTGCGATTGCGTGGGCGGTCAAAAGGCCGCCTCTGAAAATAAAATGGCACTGCGCGTTGATGGTTGAACTCAGCATGAAAGGAAGAGAGGTATTTTCTAGTTATCTATTATCACAAATAGCGTTCTCACTCACATTTGTACCAAATTCGCGTAAGTGACCAAAGTTTTTGCTCCAGGGGGCATAATTATCGTCACGCGATGGCGCCTATTCCAATTTTTTGCCACGAGTACGAAAAATGTGTAAGAATATTTTTCAAATATTTTTGTAAATCAAATGTCATAATTATTCTCTTATGCTAATTATTGTGCAAATTAAATGAATTGGTTATCATTACGTGTAATTTGTAGATGATTTCAGTGGATTATAGTAATCTAGATTCCGAATACTCACTATTCTTGTCTTATTACAATATATTTAGCTACCTACACATTCCCTCCCCCTCTCTGTACCATTCCTTATTAGACTTTTACTTTCTTTTTCTCCAGATTTTCATTAAAAATACCATTATTATATTGTATGTATTTGTCATTTGTATTTTGGAAAGCCAAAGAAGAAGACTGATTTTGTAGAGTATCTCCAGAAATGTTTAATATGGTGAACACTTCAAATTATTTCAATTTATTTTTAATTGACTTCAGTGTCCAGTTTATTTTATTTAATAAATCCCGCATAACTGACGATTAAGAGAATTCGCAATATCGAGCGGTCGCGCATGTCATTCTAAATGGCGCGAGTGCCCGAAAGTTAAGTTTATTGACAATGTAAAAACATTTTCATTTTCTCATAAAATTTGTTATGCAATATATTTATATAGAGTTAAATTGAATAGTATCTTATATTTTTGAATTAAATAATGAGACGTTACTAGTATTAACCTTAAAACGCAGCATGAAAGTGCAGTCTGATTTTGTGTAAACTTAGGGAATACGTTCCACACTGGCAAATATGCGTCTTCCCCGAGCAAGGACGCACACGGCGCTGGAGAGGACTGATCTCATCGCTTCACGTGGAGACAGCGGAATATCACTCAAGAATGCATGTTGCAATTCCAGTTCCGACGGTGGAGGAGTTTCCTCACTATCTTCATAGCTAGGTCGAATTCAATCAGTTATCTCTATACATGCGACATCGATGATGAGGTTTTAAAAATATCCATATTTTTATGATAACGTCGATATATTTAATATCAATATATTGTAGCCGATGTCTTTCACATCGATGTTTTGTGTTCCATGTTTTTTTAGTCGTTGATATTTTATATTGAATGAAAAAAGTGTAATAAATTATAGACTAATTATCAGATATTCGAAAATTGAAAACACCACAGACCAAAGTGACCAATAATTAAAAAGAATAGTCGAATCTTGCTGATAATCATAATTTACGGTTTTTTATATTACCCAAATAGATAAAAATGTACAAATAGGGAAAACCGATGGGTTTTCACCCGGAATATCAACCGCGCAGGTGGACACGCTCATTAATTTACCTGTGATGCCTGCGTTAAGTATGTATTGAAAGCTGGACAGCTGGCACACGATTCCATGATGCAGTATTCACAACTCACAGACCGTCAAATTTACTTCCCTTATTTCTACAAGAGCGAGACCACATTCTTCAATAAATTCGTGATCTGTGATTATGGAACATGGCCGACTAGCAGCTGTTCACCATTTGTGATGAGTCTCGGATTTACTTGGTGGTTAACACCATACGTCTCGATTATTCGGTCTCTTTCACTTGTGTCTTGGTATATTCAATTTCCTTATCACTAGTCTTCGTCTCGATCGTATGTCAGAAGTATGTTAACAAGGTGCAACAATCGTTTGTCTTCCATCAAAATTCAATGAATGATAGAGAATTTGTGATCAAGCGAAATACATACTTCACACTCCAGTAGCTGTTTTTAATATTTTAGATATCTCTTTTATTGACAAATCATGCGAGGAAATGCGGGATCTGGACATAGCCATCAAGCTTTAGAAGAGGAGCCTTGAGCTGACTGTTTTGCTCTAACGAATATTGCATTAGTATCGAGAAAGCCAACATCCTTGTTAATATCGCATCTTCTGGCACTGCCCTTCCTGTCTGTTGTGTTTAGCCTTGAGAGCCCCGTGTGGCGTGTGCGCAGGCGCACAGGCCTGCTGCTGGCGCTGCCCTTCCTGTCTGTTGTGCTTGGCCTTTAGAGCCGTGTTGCGGCGTGAGCGCAGGTGAAAAGGCGCTCTGCTGCTGGCGCTGCCCTTCCTGTCTGTTGTGCTTGGCCTGAGCTCCCGTGTGTCGTGTCGCAGGCGCAGAGCACCCCCGGCCCGTGCTGGGCGCGCTCTGCTTGGCGCTGCCCTTCCTGCCCGCCGCCAACCTGCTGGTGACGGTGGGCTTCGTGGTGGCGGAGCGCGGCATGTTACATCCCCAGCTGGGCTCGTGCTCTGGCGGCGTCGGAGCGCAGCTGCTGTTGGGGCAGCTGTTCCCCACCGGCCGCTGCTGCTGGCGGCGGGGTGCTGCTTGCTGCTGCTGCTCTGCAGTCGGACGCTGGCGCGCACCGGGACTGGGCGTCGCGGGAGGCGCTCGTCAGGTGAGATGCGTGCGGGCAGGGGGGGGGTGAGCTGCGCGCGCCGTCTGGGGCGGGGGCTGACGCGTGGTGTCGCTTGTGTCGCCCGCATGGGGGGGGGGGGGAGGGCGGGGCTGGCGGGCGCTGCCGCATTAACCGCCAAGATGCACTACAACTTCGGCCAACTTTTCCAGCGCGACGAGGGCAACATCGAGCTCGCCACCGCGCATTACAAGGAGGCCCTAAGGTGAGTTTCTACAAGCAGTGCACCCTTCTTTTCCGTCTCTTAAATAGCCCTTCGCGACGTTTCAATGTGGCGTTGCAAAGAGGACCTCAGATAAGTTTCTACGCCCAGTGCACCCTCCATTTCCATCACTTGAATAGCCTCTCGCCACGCCTCAATGAGGTGTTACAATGTGGCCCTCAGGTGTCACCTACAACTCATTAAAAAAAATGCAGTTGCGATGTTGATGATGCCAAAACAGGATTGCTCATATACAAAAAATGATGTCAATCTCATTTTGCTACGCTAGAGCCACTCGCGCGTGAAAGATTTTCTCCCTTTTCACGTCGCGTCGAGTAGACGAGCTGCGGACTGCTCAAGTTGCCCATCCATAATACAGAATATGTCGAGCAGCTGTGATGCAACAGCATATTCAGCGCATAAAACAATCATAGCTCCCAGCGCGATTTAAGCCTAAGTTTTGTTTATAACCTGCATGTTTCAAGCATAAGAAACAACGACGTTGTGAATTGTCTGAACCGAGATGTACTTTTTAAACATTCGAATTCCATCTCGAATATATCGTAAATTTTCTCTACGTTTTCCTATCGCTAGATTTATTTATTTTTTTGGCTCTAAGCAGAACCTGCGTAAGAAAGCACATTAAAGCTTACGACAGGAAAATTGAAGGGTATTAAGTGTAAATTCTGAAAATATGAAGTTCGTTTTTCGAAAATTGATTTCAAAATATTAGTTTGTAATAATATCAATTATCTTTTTAATGGTCAACAAACTTTTGTGCCTATACCACTCGCCCATTTTCATCACGTCCTTGTGCGTAGTCATTGTTGGAAATGTGCTGTTGGAAACTTTTAGTGCTAAACCATTGTTATGTTGCTAAAGTATAATAATATAATGCTTCAAGGCTCCAACCGGTGGATATATGAGCACTTTTCTATAAAAAGTATCAAAACTGTTAGGCTTTAGTTGCCTGTGTCCCGTGAGATTCGGTGCGTACCAAACACCTTTTGCTTTACAGCGGCTCTCCTTCCGACTTTTCCACGAACATATTGCAGCTAAGCACGGTGTTAAATGATGATTCGAACCGACTCAAGTCGTCGTTAACCACCCTGGCCAGGAGTTTTCAAAGCTTTTGCGAACTCAAATAAATCGAGGACTAGGAATCAGGAATGAAGAAATTTGCTTAAATGTTTAGTTGTGAATGTCTCCCTCTATTGAAGAAATAGAATTCGCAAACTAGTGCAAAAGGTGCAAATAAGAGTTGACCAGAAATGTTACATATGTGTACAAAGGACGTTTAAGGACTATATTGGTTTGTCATGCCGTGTAGCATAGCGCATGTATTACGGCGATAGCCGCTATAGGAGCATTTGTGACTCACAAGCGCCAGACGTAACTGCCCCATCGCAATGGGCATAAAAGCCACAGTGGAGTTACAGAATGGAGGCTACAATCAAGGAGTGGAATAGAAAGACAGTGTATTAAGTATCACAGTATTTACTGAGAGTAGGGAGCATCTGTATATAACTGAATTGTTGAAGTTGACATAAAAATACTGATGATGTTGATGATAGTTTATTAAGAAAGAAAAAAATTGATATTTTTACGGATCGTTTTCGAGAAATACACCGTTTAACTCAGTGGACCTAAGCAACGGATAATCATGCGTTGCGTCAGAGGAGCGCATGGGCGGGCATATCCTGGCCTTGAATAAACGAGTTTTGTTGCGGACGTCGGAGACACAGCTTTCAGCGGGTTGGGATAGTTGAGTTTATAGTCTACAGATTCGGTGAAGGCAAGTACCAAAGAGGAATAAAATTACTCATGTGAGTTGTTCCCTTAGGCACCGTGGAATTGCGTGAAATATGCAAGACAAAGTATCATATTATTTGTTTTTAAACTTTTTTAGTTCCATGTTACGATCTTCAAGAGCACATCTCTTTGCTGCTTTTTGCTACGAGTGATTAATCTTCTCATATTAAACTTCATTGTCTGGTTTTCAGTAACACTTTTCATGATATTTTTGTATACATTTTCGCATCCGTGGTAAAGTGGAGGCGAAAATTAAAGTTCATAGAAACAGTGCATTATTTTTCAGTTGCATCAACCATTGCATTTATAATCACTACACAGATATCCACGAAGTAAAGAAACATTGGCCACCAGCACCACTTTCTCTATTTCCTGATCTGAATGCCGCTATAGACAGTTGCATTCTTCCCACGCCCTCTATTGCTCTGTTATGTGACTTTAATACTAAATGTTGTGAAACAAACATAAACATTGAAACACAATATAATGCTACAAAACGTTTTTTACCTTTCTTCATCAATAATTGATGATGATATTGATGATGAATTGATTACACTGGCCTGCGATAGTTTCATTGCCGCTATCTTGTATTACTTTATAGGATTACTTTTGCATCCTAAATCAGGATCTGACATTATTTTCCCTACATCACATCACGTTTTCTTTAAAAACTTATATTACGTTTTCACGCACTAATGCGCTTACTAAGTTGTTAGAAGAGTTGTTGTTTTAATTCCAATTTTCAGATGAGTTTGTTAATCCGATGTTCCGATCTGGTAACCCTCTGTAATCCGCTTAGTCTGGAACCGGTGTTTAAGGCGTATTCCAATAAAAATATTACATTTCTATTGAAATTATAACAACATGCTACATCCTGACTTCTAGAACACTCCAGATACATTCTGTTCTTTATGTGGATATTTTGTGCCAATAAGAAAGCAGCGCAAAGTTATCTAGTTCATGAGAAAAGACTACTATGCCTTTTGGTATCACACTGGGAGACCAAGGAAAGCCGTAGACACCACATAGGGCTTCTAGAACGTGTTATAGTAAACACGACGGAGTGAGAACAGAGTTGCCATTCGGAATTGCAATGGTGTGGTGAGAACCTGCAGACAACAGTACTGACTGCTAATTCTGTTCTGTGATTGTGAAGGGATTTAACAGCGATAACAAAAGCCTTTGGCAATTTTACCCGTTCTTTTCTTGGTTCTGATGTACCTTTCCCACGGCATCCTGGAATATTACAAGACTGCCCCTCCTCTGAATTTGAATGTGATGCAGAACTTGATGATCCTACCTATGACTGTAATTTTTAGATTAAAGACTTTGAAATGGAACCTAAACTTTTCAAGTAAAGTGCATTAAAAAATTTGTTTGAGATTTTGGACTTACAAAGGAATCCTCAGGTCTACATTTTGCGAAAGGAAGATGAAGGTACCAGGAACGACGTACTATTGGTGCAGATATTGCGAACAAGATTTTACAAACTTATTTTCTGAAAGGGAAGTTTTTTTACTGTAACAACATTCAGGAGGCTGTGTTGAAACTAGGATTACCACAGTACGACCCCATACACCGGAGAGTTTATCGATGCCTCCAAGCGTAGTTTGAATTGAGTCCTTCTTCATAATGAAAACAAAATATCATCAATTTCTATTGTTCATTCTGGTAATACGCGAGAATATTAAAATCCTGAGATGGTGTTGTGTTTACTGAAGTAACAAGAACACAAGTGGAAAGTCTGCGGTTAATTTAAAGTCATAGGTATTCTGTTAGATTTTACAAGCAGGTTACACAAAGTACTCCTGCTTTCTGTGAGTCGGACTGACTAGCAAGGTTACACCTCAGAACCAAAATAAAATGACAAGGTAAACGGTGGATTGTAGATTGTGCTCGACAAACATAAAAGCTTATTGGCAAGTCCGTCATACTGTTACCTCCGCTTCATATCAAACTTGGACTAATGAATAAATCCCTTGAATCTCTAAACAATGAAGGTGAATGCTTTCAGTACCTGTATTACTAGCTGTTCTGAAATAACATTCAATGAAAAGCTGAAAATAAGACCGCGCTCTAAAAACAAGTTTTGCAAGTGACCTGACTGCATAGGATCAGATAAAACAGACGGCTAAATGATTCAAAAACTATAGAAATATAAAAAAATTCAAATTCTCTATTTTTGCAATCAGTACTCATGCATACAAACTAAAAATTGTAAAATATCACGCCGTTAGTATTACGACATAATTCATTAGCTTACATTTTGTGCGAAGTAGCCAAATAATCTTGCCATCATATATTGATTGATTTTGTTAGAAATGCTTACTTTTTCCCTAGTAAACACATGAGTCAAATTATCTCCTAACTTTACGTTTGACATTCAATAAATGTAAACATTTACTCATTATAAAATGAACAACTACACGCGTATTATAGTTGCAATTGCTTGCATTTTTGGAATAAAATGTCTAATTAGTAAAAAACATCGTTTCCATGGGAAAACGTTTTTCAAGCCCTTTTCTCTCCTCCAGATGCTCCCCCTTCGGTGTTGTGATGAAGGTTTGGGTGCGCAGCACCCATCACTGAGTTATTGTCATTTTGTGGCGATGCGCCTGATTATCGTTCAATTTTTGTTTTGTTTGTGTTAGATGACAATTTTTTGGTTATTTTCTAGGTGTCAGGTTTCATTGTTTGTGAATTATCTCTTCTGAATGAATTTATTTTAATGGAATAATATCAGCAATATCTATTTTATTCAGCTATTTTTGCACTGATGGTTATTGATAAGGAATATCCAAATAATCTTATTTTACAATTGAAGAAAAGAAGTACATATTCAAAATAAATTTATAATAGAACACAAAACTGGAAAAAATACCGCGAGTGGCAGTGAGCGGCGAAATATTTTTCTCTCCACAGCCAGCGTAAACGGAGACAATGTCCACACATAAAACTCCCAAACGCTGAAACAATATACCAAAATACCAGCCGTGTGCGTAACGTACGATCGTCATTATACGGTTTTCAGCAGATACGCAAAACATCACATGAGTAATGAAGTGTCAGTCCTGGGATATTTCTTCGCAAGGCGGCGTTGTTTCCAAATATCGGTTGCAACCTGCGCGCATCATTTTTTGCAGCGGCGAGCGCTTTCACAAAGCGAGCCAGCGCGCGGGCGACCGGGCGGT